ATATACTTACATCCAGATATTTGAGTGATGCAGTAAAAAATAAACAAATAACAAAGTAAAGTAGATGAATTATATGTAAAAGAACACTTTGTCAATAGGAAAATCAAAGGTACCCTGGATGATTAACGAAGACTCTAGCATAATTTCCTGTTCTCCAAGGCTTTGAGAATAATCAAGAAATTGCAGTCAAGTTCCCAGGGGAGGGGCTCAAAGGAGAGAAACAATCATAAGTTCTTCTGACTGCAGGTAGGTAAGTCATCATAAGGGGGAACACAAAGCCATACCTCATTTTAGGTGAGTAGATGGCACTGATCACCTGATCACTAGACTAGCGGCAATGACAATTTTTGATGCCTGTCTTCAATTTAGATTTGAGAAATGAATATAATCACCAATGTCAGACTCTGTAAATTATAACACACATATTAGTAATAACTTTTTATGACTATATTTTCTAGTAAAGTGTTTTTCCACAATTATTTTGTTTTTTGAGGATCGTAAGCTTCCTAATTTCTATTTGTTAAGATTTCGATATTTATATGAGGATGCGAAATCATAAACATTCTGAGGTCGGTATAAACATTTTTGGAAAGCTTCACCTACAATGTGATCTAAGCAAAATGCTGATGGTTGGGACAAAGTTACAGATGCTCCATGTGTACCTGTGCCTCAAGTACTAATAGATTTCTAATAAGACCTCCAATTATTCAGTAATGTGATATATTCACTATCTCTTATTAACATGCAAAGTTTCATTTGTGCTATAGATGTTTGTGATCTTGTTTTACTAATACCCTATAGGAAACTGGTTTTACACAATTCCACCAAGAGCAAACCCTGAGGTGAAGACTTGGGTATATTATGTTTATTTGGTAGGTTATTTCAGGAAACAAAAATAAGGAAATAAGGAAGTAAGGACTGGGAAGGCAGGAAGCCAATGAAGTGTGAATAGAGTGTGGATTACTGCTGTAGCAGCTAAGGTTTTATCATTTGAGGTGCAGGGAAGTGTCCTTCAGGGATCTTCAAGAAGGATAGAAAAGTTTGGGTGCTCATCCATTGATCCGTGTCCTTATCTGTGGTGCATTGCTCCCTGACACATTAAATCTCAGGTACTTCCAGCCTGCCTTGCACATGGACAGAGGAAGCTTCCAAGACCGTTTGCCCTCAGAAAAATAAGTAAAACACTTGAGATGGACTTGAAATCTATATAACTTTATTAACCAATGTCACACCCCAATAAATTTGTTAAAATGATATGGGAAACTGCCAGCATTCTAAAAAAAGTCTACTGTGGCTGTAGACCAATTCAGAGGTGGCACAAACCGATAAGGAATGGGGAGAAATATGTATCTGCTATAGTGATATTTGCAAGACCAAGTTGATGGCAAAGCCAAAATAATATACAATAGACTCTTTGACTTAGACACATATGTCCATGGCACCATAATGATAGTTTGTCTTTTGCCCCTAATATCTTTGCATTAAATTTCTTTTCATATGAATCATGAGGATAAAAGCTGGGAAGTTGCTCTTAACACATTTACAGTGTGGGCAAAACCAAGTTTTAAATCAGTACAATTAAAGGGTCAAGCCAGATCAATTCTTGGAAAAAATTAACATACCATTCCTTAAACACTTCAGAGTTCTCGGCTTGGTTATTCGCTTTCTTCACTTGTAATGTGCCAAAATGCTTTAGGGAAGTTTTCTTCTTAATCTGTTGTTCTTCATGTTATAAATCACACGTATCAAATGTGAAAAGGAAAAATATAGTTTGAAGGTTGGAAAGAAAAAGTAAGAGAACTTCCCACACCTCTCTATGAGTCTCACTTACATGGCACAGATGCAACACAAACCACGTGACTCAACTCACTGAATTTTGCCAACATGTTTGAGAATCTAGCATAATGGCATATAATTATAATGAAGAAGTACAGTTTCTTAAAAAAATCTTCAACTTTTATGATAAACTACATAATAGTAGTTTGGGGTTTGGCGCTGAATCCCACACCCAGTGAGTTTACCACTGCACGTCTTAAGTTACAAAATGCGGATATTTGCTAAGTAGGATATGTGAAGCAGTATATTTTGTCAGATTCCAAAGCTATAACTAGAAATGATTAACGTTGGTTTTGTATATGTTGGTGCTGTCACATAATTGCAGAGTTAGTGGTCTCTTATTGAGATAATGTAGTGTTTTTCACATACCAAGGAATGGAAATGTATAGAGGGGCTCATGGCATTTTTAGCTGTTAGATGAGAGAAGTATGTTGTAGGTCCATGTTTTATTATTTTCAAATAATATGTGTAAATTTTTGCTAATTCTAACTAACCCAAAGACTGCTGAGCTTGACATATTTTGAGTCATTTAAAAATATATGATAAACCCTCCGCCAACATTATACTTAATAGTGAAAAACTAAAATTCTGTTTTTTTTTTTAATCTTCTTTCCCTCTTTCTTTCTGTAACTTCTTTGAATAAGAATATGATGTTCTGAATTTGACCATCCCATTTATCTCTTTTGAGGTTATTTGCATAATTTTATAGAATATTTAGTTGAGATTGGGAGTTTGCATTTGCAAAGGAAAATATCCTTGGGCTTCAGGTCCATTTCCTATGTCCTGGTGCAACTCTGAAGTTTGTGCTTCCTTCACAAAAGGGTCAGGCTTGTTGCTCAGTCTCTTGTTTCTCTCTGACTAGTGCTTTGGCAGCTGCAGTGGGGAGATGTGGGTCAGATAAAACTATCAACTCAATTGAGATTCAGAAGTATTTCAGGGATTTGCAGAATAAGGTGGATGTCAGGATGAAGAGGTTTGCCAAATATAAAAACTGATGTAGAATCTGTCTTTCTTTGGATATAATTTTTCATAGCTTAAGACATTAAATTTTGCCATTTTCCTTATTTGGTTGCTCCTAATGAATGCTTATTTTTACTTTTTTGGTAAATATTTTAATATTCAGAATAGAGTTTTAGGAAGAATAAATTTTTGAGGCAGATTTAATCTGTTAAATTAATCTTGAATTTCTATTTTAGTTTTCTTGAAACTTAAATTTATTTAGTGGCATTCAGAAGTTTCAGTTTTAAGGCTATAGGAGCTTAAACATTTTTTTTTCCTGACATTAAGTTCTTGACCAGTGTTGGATTGATTTTTATACAGATGAACTAAACATTCAATTTCATCATCTTCTACAGAGATAATCACTTTTTCCAGCTCCATGTATTGAATAGACCATTTTTGTCTGACTGTCCTAATAGGCCACCTATGTCACAGACCATAGTTCTATGTCATCATGAGTTTCTGAATTGTGAATTGTGATCCATTAGTATGTTTGCCCATTTTCATGTCTATGCCACATTGTCTCAACAAATCTAATTTTATAAGTTTTAATATCTGATAATGCAGGTCTTTTCAAAACTGTCTTGCTTATTCTTTATAATTTATAGTTTAAAAATACATTTAAATCCATGTCAAATTACATAAAATGCTCCAGTATTTTATATTAAATATATTTTATGTTAAACAAATAGATTAATTTAAACAGAATTCACGTTTTTATAATAGTGAATAGTACAATCTAAGAGCATAGAATTTCTACCAATTTATTTAGGACTTTTATAATGTTTCTCATAAATTTTTAATTCTTCTTTTAACGGTAGGTTTAGTCTATATTTTCTAAGATATTCTATCAAGTTGGAAATTTCCCTTTACTTCTTAATTTCATTTTTTTGTACACTCTAAATAGTACTATTTATTCATTTATTAACGCTCATTTTTTTTTAATTCAATCTGATAATGTAGTAAATAATATAGATTTTCCGAAACTCAAACATTCAGCCAAACTCGATCAACCAAGCTTCAACATAGTATAATGTATTTTTATTCAATTTTGGAATAGATATCAATGATATGTGCATACTATTTAAGATAATATCTATGTAAGTGAAATGGTAGTCACGAATATATTGCTTTTCATTATATATTTTTTTAAATTCAGGATTTTGCTATTCTCTTAAGATGATTTGCAGTGTGGTCATCATTTTTATACTCTGAAAGATTCTGTAAAAAATTTAGATGATTTTTTTTCCATAAAAGATATGAAGGACCTGTCTTTAAAACAATGAAAATGGAAAAGGAATTAAATAAATAGAGTTAAAGAAAAAACAACCTTTAAATTAAAATTTAAAACCTATAAAAGCATAGTGGAATTTAATTTAGAAAATCAAATGGATAGTGGAATGAGAATAGCATCTTCATATGGCAGTTATAACATAGAGAAGTAAATCAAAATCTATTAGATGAGTTAGCAATGATTTTCTTTGGAGAGTGGGACTGAAGTTGCAGGGTCAAGAGGTGGAGGGCTATATTACTTTGTATTATAATTTCTTCTAAAATTTCTTTAAAATCTATTTAACCAAATATGTGTCTTTTAAATAAAAAACATTTAAAAATATCAGATTTCCCAATGTAAGCTAAACTGTTCTTTATTTTAATTAAATGTATTAGAGTGACATTGGTTAATAAAGGTATGTAGGTTTCAAGTGTATAATTTAATAACACGTCATATGTATATTGCATTGAATGTTCACCACCCAAGGTTAAATTTTCTTCCATCATCTATATTTGACCCCTTTTAACTTTATCTACCTCTCCTTTCATCTCTCTAATAACCTTTGTTCTATTGTCTGTGTCTATGTTTCTTTATATTTCTAATGATATTCTATTGACAGAACCATAAAGGATTTGCAATGATAAGCACTTTGTGGCACAAAAAATAAAATAGTTACTATATCTGTTAGGTTACAATGTTTTCTAAATTTGGTTCTACATTTACTGATGGAGGTGGGTCTCAATTTAAATTGTTGTACCTAAAATCCTTGGATTTGAGTTACCTATAATGGGTTTGCAAACTAAAAGGTTACCAGATGATACCTTCTGAAATCTAATGACTTTTCTAATGCTCTTTTTTCTTCCCCCCACAGTAGTTTCCCTTAATGGTCTAGATGGAACGGCAAAACCTAACAGTGCCGAAAGAATTCATTCTCATGGGAATCACAGACCGCCCTGAGCTGCAGGCCCCCTTCTTCGGGGTGTTCCTTGTCATCTATGTAGTCTCAGTGGTGGGCAACTTGGGCTTGATCATCCTCACCAAGATAGACTCCAGGCTGCAAACACCCATGTACTTCTTTCTCACACACCTGGCATTTACTGATCTTGGTTATTCAACTGCTGTAGGACCAAAAATGCTAGTAAGCTTGGTTGTAGATCAACATACAATCTCCTATAATTGGTGTGCTACCCAACTCTCTTTCTTCATTATGTTTATTACTAGTGAAATTTTCCTTCTGTCAGCAATGGCTTATGACCGTTATGTGGCCATCTGCAACCCTCTGCTCTACAAAGTCATCATGTCACAAAGATTATGTCTGTTGCTAGTGGCAATACCCTATCTATACAGTGTCTTTTTGTCTTTGCTGATCACTATAAAAATTTTCATTTTGTCATTTTGTGAGTACAATGTCATCAGGCATTTCTACTGTGATAGTCTATCATTGGTACCTTTGCTGTGTTCAGACACACATGAAATTAAATTATTAATTCTCATATTTTCAGCTTTTACTTTGGTGTCATCTCTTCTGATTGTTCTTGGATCCTATTTGCTGATCTTTGTTGCCATCCTCAGGATGCACTCTGCAGATGGCAGACACAAGGCCTTCTCCACCTGTGGATCACACCTGACAGTGGTGGTTCTATACTATGGTACTCTCTTCTTTATGTACGCACAGCCCAAGTCCAAAAATTCATCTGATACTGATAGAATGGCCTCTTTATTTTACACTTTGGTGATACCCATGCTGAATCCCATGATCTACAGTTTGAGGAACAAAGTGGTGAAAAATGCCCTGACTAGAACCTGGACCTTGTGTGCAAATATCCTATTGAAAATTCACTGTAAGATGTGCTAGCAAGTGATTATGTATTAGACAATGTATATTATAATAGGATCGTTTAACCATGTGCTTTTACTTCCATGAGATGGACAAGATACAATGTATGATAAGCACAGAAATAAAGAAAATTATTCATCGTTTTCAAACAAAATGTGTCGCTAACTGATGACTACACTCTGTTCCTACTTTAGATAGTAACCTTTACTCTCAAATTTAGACCAGATGACGTTCTTACATATTTTCACATGTAGCCTATTTGCTCTAACTAAATATTTATTTTTATAAAGCCAGCCTGTATTTAGCAATTTTATCTGTAGTTCCTAACATGGTAAAGAGGCAATAACAATGATGCTCAATAGATTTTATATAAGTGTATTCATTCAAAGAAATAAACATGTACTCTTAAGTTTAACAACAAAAACCACTCACTCTATAGGACTTAGAGAAAACACAAAATACAGGTAGAATGAGAAGTGGGCTATATAGTATGATAGATGGTATTGAGCAATATGAAAATGAAATAAAGCAAGTAACCAGAACGGAGTTCAAATTTTAGCTAAGGTTGTCATTGAGACCTCTGTGAGGATGATATTTAAATGAACACTTGAGAAGGATAGTGAGCGCACTATATGGACATGTAGAGGAAGAGACCTAGGCTTTGCTGGTCCACAGAGGGAGAACTGTCAATGAAACAGTTCTTAAGTGATGATATTATTGTTAGGAACATAAGAGTCAAAGATGGTTGGAGCATAAGGTGTGATTGGGAAGTGGAGGAGATAAGGATAGACTTGTAACAGATTTTGACCCAGTAGGATCATATAGACTCTTGTAAAACTTGCCCTTTCTTCTGAATGATAAAAGAACCCCTGGAGGATTTAGAGTGAAGAAGTGATTTAAAGCATCTTTCGTTAAATGACAGCTCTGACTGCTATGCAAATAACAGACGGTAAGATACCAAGTCTTGGAAATGGGAAATCATGCAGGGGTTTATTCATGATAATTTGGGAGAGAACAGAGGCTTAAGCCAGCATGGAAAGTCAGAGAATGAGAAATGATTAGAGCCTTGGCATATTTGTAAGAAGAAGTCAATAACATTCTTCATATTTATGTGGTTTGTTAGAAGCTTGAAAAAAAGATTAATACTTTTAAAAGAATAGAAATACGAGTTCCAGAGCTCACCAGAAGGCATGTTGAAAACTCTTTCTGTTTCCAACTTATATGGTGTAACAGAGACTGAACTAAACCGCCCATTAAAAAAAGAAAAAAATACAACAAAACATAAAGAAAGATATAAGAAATAACAGTTTTCATAACATTGACACCAGGCGATGAAGGACAGTTTCCCTGAGAGATGAGGAACAAATGAGGTGAATCCTATAATTACCCATCCTGCCTGGTCTAAGAGCGATTCCAGGCTGCACTGCCATATAGTCAAACTTAAGTGAAACCTAGAAGAATTAAGTTGAAGAGTCAGAGTTGAGAGTCCAGTGAGATCAAGGTAGCTAGAGTTGCGAGACAGAGTACCAAAGATAAGGAGCTTCATAGAGAAAGGAAATTGGATCTGCAAGGAATCCTTCTCAATTGCTCCACAGAACTACTGATCAGCACAGGCAACTGGCAAACAAACACCTAAGACTAAAGAGAAAAAAAAAAAATCATCTGAAAGGATTAAAGACAGCAGTGCCCAGAATTCAAACAGAGGCAGGAATTGTTCCAATTTGTTGCACAGAAAGTAGAAATGGAGCTTTACGTTGAGTACTCAAGAAAGTCTACCCCAGTAGAGAATAATTAACCCTAAAGTGAGCATTGCTCTATATCCATTGAAGAAATCTAAAAGGAAATGATACACACACACACACATGCACACACACACATACACACAGACCTCAGTCTTTGCTTCTAAAGGACCTCAGACGATTGGACAACACCTCCTCACATTCTGGTGGTTAATTAGCTGTAATCAAATGTATTGATTAATGTCAACTTGTTTTTCAAAAAAAACCTTCACAGCAACATCTAGACCGAGCTTTGAGTAAAGAACTAGGCACCATTCTCTAGCCATTGGACATAAAAAATTACCATCAAAACGAAGAAGAAAGAAGAAAGAAGAAGAAGAAGAAGAA